TGTTTATCTGAAAGAATGTCGATTTTTAAAAATAATTTTAAATAAAATAATTAATTAAAATTAAAAACAAAAACAAAAAAACAAAAACAAAAACAAAACAAATAAAAAACGTAAATGTCGTCTTCGTCTCCTGTCATGGAGACGAAGGTCTTCATCTCCGGCCATGGAGACGAAGATGGCATTTTAAGTTTTTTTTTTTTTTAATTTAATTAATTATTTTATTTAAAATTTAAAATTATTTTTAAAATTGATAACCGCCACGTCAGCATTTTCTTTCATGTAAACAGGTCATTTTGGACCTGATTGCATAATTTTGTGTTGTTCAGTGACCTAATTGTATTATTATTTTTTAATTCGGTAACCTAATTGTACTTTGGTGTGTAGACAGTACAATAGAATGGTCTATTTAACCCTTATTCCTTAATTTTATTATGTCAATATATTGCTACTTTTATGGAAATGCACTTTTAGTTGTGTAAATGCACAAAATTACAGCAAAGTAAATTTAGAGAATATATATATATATATATATATATATATATATATATATATATATATATATGTTGTATTTATGATACTCACCATTTTTTTAAAAAGTATGTAGCACAACTACCTTTTTTTTGTTTTGTTTTTTTTTTTTTTGAAAACTAGCACAACTACCTTACTTTGACTGCATTTAATTTTTCATAAAATCTGAGATTGCTTGCTAGCTTAAGCTTAGTCATTCGGTCTTTCAATTTCTACTATACTAATAAGAGCCCAAGAGAGTTAGACTTATAATTGGTAGAAAAATAGCGGTCAAATTTTTTAATCAAATGAATGACGCAAATTAATCAGATTTTAATTTTTCCTTAAGATTTTCTAATTTATCCTTAATGAATATGATTATCCGTTAACTTTTCCGTTAAATATTATCTTTTCCATTAATTTCTGTTAGGGTCCGTTTGGAAAGCAGGAAAATAACTTCTGGAAAATGAGTCATTTTATTTTCCTGTGTTTGGCTGCACAATGGAAAACTGTCTTTTGGTGTTTGGTTCATTTTCCAGAAAATGAACAGGAAAATGAACAGAATGGTATACTTAAACATTTTAATTATTAGGGCAACCCCAATAAGGGGTTCATTCCCACATTTTAGCACAAAAATCCCCATGAATTGCTTTTTGACATATGGGATAGCAAACTTTTGACTATATTTTCCTCCTACAACTCACAAAAATTTGTCAATTTAAAAAAAAATAAATAAATAAATGAAGGGTGAGACGCGCAGGTGTGTCTCACCCTTCTGCCAACACACGCGCCCGCCAGGGCGTTTCAGAATTGGCGGCCACTCTGAAATCATTTTAATTTGTCATTTGTGTCGTTGCAATTTGCAACGGCACAAATTATTTATTAATTTTTTAATTTTTTTTTATTGTTAATCACAAATTGAAAGCTTGTAATTTTTTTTATATTGTTAATCCATAATTTTTTTATTGTTACTCACAATTTTTTTTTTGTTAATTCATAATATATTTTTTTTACTGTTAATCACAATTTATTTTAATTATTAGTTCGGAAATGAAAGCTTGCAATTTTTACGTATGTTCATTTACGTTATTACGTATGTAATTCATTTATGTTTATTATAAAATTATAAATTTATAAATTAAATAAATAAAGAAATAATTAAAATATGGAGATAAAATGGTGGGTCCATAAAAAGTTGTGAAAAAACTTAAAATTAATTGGAAGAAGAGATTTTGTGATTGGGTGAAATAGTGAATGATGAGGTGGATGTTGGGGCCCACAAAAATCTGGGGTAAAATCCCCAACTATTGAGGATGCCCTTATATACCGAAAAATATATTTTTATTGTTGTTTGTAGAATATAACAATTTTTATTACAAATTCTATGCAACATAAATTTTTATTGTATTTAATTCTAATGCCTCTGCTCTTAATCTATCTTTCTAGTACTAAATTCTAATGCAACACAATATGACAATTTGAAATCAAAATTACATGTTAGAAACAACATAAATGCATACATAATCAAGTTTTGAAAATTAAAGTCCACAAAGTCTTAGGATCCAATATAACAAGTACTAAGATCCAACATAACCAACCAACTACAAAACATACATAAAAATAAGTCTTAAAGATTACAATCCAAGTCTTAACATGCACGTTAACCAACAAAAAAAAGACATACATAATTTAATCCGAAGAAGAAATAAATTTCTCAATCCATTTCCTCTTCAAACTTGCATTCTTCCCCTTGAAAATTCGCGCCTGAACATCATTTGTCATCAAGTATTCAAATATCTTACATAAGTCATCCTCATGAAAGTCATCACCTATGCTCATCACATCCGCAAACAACTGATTTTCATCAATACCGGTATTCAAAGATTTAATTGTCGTGGCAATGCTACCGAGCTGTTCAGCAATTTCATCTCTATTGAGGATGTCATGTTCTATTTGGTTTCTATTCCTAAGTTGTTGCAATAGAAGAACTCCTATAGCTAATATAGCACTTGCTGCATCCATAATAGTTGCACGCACATTATTTCTATCCATCTATACAAACAAACAAATAAAATGATATGACAACAAATAACTACAATTAAAACTAACACATAACCACAAAATAAGCAAAGCATTTTACTCTCTCTGTCCCATTTTGCCTGTCCTGTTTACTATTAATTGGTCAATCTAACTCTTTCTTCATTGCTTATTTTCTTTAGTAATTTTTAATTAATTTTAAATTTTATTTTTTATGTTTAATAGTACTTTTAATATAGTTTCTAAATATATAAATTTTATATACTAAAAATAAACTTAATATTATAAAAAATTGAAGTAAAAATAGCTTCAGTCAAGCCTCGTTAACCGAACCAGACAAACAAAATGGGACGGAGGGAGTATTATATAATCAATAATAATCAAAATAAGCAGCAACCAAGCAAATTCATCAATAAACAATCCATAAACACTCAAGCATGTTATGGCTTCTTCACTGATTTTTCCAGCCGGAAATCACTGCTGGTTTCCGGTTGGGGAAACCAGTGCATCTGGTTTTCGATGCGGAAACCAGTGACTCTGGTTTTCCGCATCGGAAACCAGAGCCACTGGTTTCCGGCTAGGGAAACCAATGAAAAAGCCATAACATTTTCCGGTTGTGGGGAGGAAAACCCACAGCCGGAAAATAACTTTGGAGAAAAAAAAATTCAAAAAGTGAAAATGATGAAATATACCTCTGTAGCTTTTCTAGTGTTGGTAAAGCTTTTGTGGTTGTGGATTGTTGGAGAAGGAAGTGTTGGTAGAGTTTCTCTGCTGAATGTTGAAGGAGGGGGTGAAGTCTAGGAGAAGAAGCACTGAAGGCTTAGCTTGCGCGTGTGTTTAGATTGGAAGATGGAAATGACTTTCCCTAAAAAAATGGGAAGTCATTTTCCGGAAATTAGCACCCATTTTCCGTTGACTAGCTAGCATTTTCCTTTGACCACTTCATTTTCAGCCTACCCAAACACCAGAAACCCGAAAATTGATTTCCAGGTTTCCAAACAGACCCTTAGTTCACCGTTAACTTACTCATTGATTTCAATAAGAAAAGTTTTAGGTTCGAACCACATCCCAATCAAAGTTGGCATAATTAGTACTTTATTTTACTCTTAGCAAATTAAATAATAATTTAGTAGCTACAACAAAGAATAATACATATGCATTTGTTTAATTTAGAATTATATGTCTACAATGTCCTTATTCAAAAAAAAAAAAATAATCATTATCAATAAATTAAATAAGAGAAATAATTGCATTAGTCGTTATATTGTATTTATTTTTCTCCAATATAAAAATTCTTTACATTCAAATTCATCAATTGATTATATTCGCTACATTGTCTCTACAATGTCTTTATTAAAAAAAAAAATCATTATCAATAAATTAATTAAGAGAAATAATTTTATTAGTTATATTGTCTTTATATTTCTCCAATGTAAAATTCTTTACATTCAAATTCATCAATTGATTATATTCACTACATTGTCTATTATCTTTTTGTGCACTATTTTTTAATTAAATATGAAAGTTATAATACAAAATAATGCTATATATTTATTTTCCAAGTATTTTATTAATACCATGAAAAATTTTTAAAAATATAATTAATAAAGTCAATCATATTAACTACTTGAGGGACTTGTTGACAAATTAAATAGAGTATTCAAATCACACAACAAATTGAAGTGAGAACTACCTCGCAATTTCCTTGTTTGACAATCAGCAGTTAGCAAATTATATTAGCGAATTTGACCAGCGAATTATATCAACGGTTGGTACAAAAAATATTTGAAAAAATTAGCTGTTTAGATTAACATGTAAAATGACCTAATGGTATACATAATAATAATAATAATAATAATAATAATAATAATAATAATAATAATAACAACAACAACAACAACAACAACAATAATAACAATAATAATAATAATAATAATAATAATAATAACAACAACAACAACAATAATAACAATAATAATAATAATAATAATAATAATAATAATAATAATAATTGTTTTAAAAAATAAAAAAAATAAAAAAATATAATTAAGCCAATCATATTAATTAACTACTTGGGGAATTTATTGACAAAAAGAGTATTCAAATCACACAACAAATTGAAGTGAGAAACTATTTCGCAATGTCCTTGTTTGGCAATCAGTAGTTAGCTCTTCAATATTAGTATATATTTAATATTTTATGCCCTACTTTTTATTTGCTCCCGCTTATGTCCCGTATTTGATTTCAATCATACCTATACAATTATTTTATTGACAATTATAATCAATCTTGACTATATTATCTTGCATTTATTAACTTAGAATTGCATATTTAAATACGCAAATTTAACATTCAATTATCTATGCATGAATAATTCTAATATAATCTTGCGTTGATATACTTAAAAGTACTTATTTAAAAAAAAAAAAACATTGACATTATCTCAATCGCGCGTAAAAAACTAGTATTATTAATAAACTTCTTTAGAATGCAACAAGTACATAGAAGGATAGGATCGGATGCTGTGCATGATCACACATATACTATACATCATTCCATGCACTGCTAATTAATCAGGTGAAACTGTTATTTGGTACGGTTGAATAATTATTCAGGCACGGGTATGGATATTTATCTATTATATAAACGCCTCTCTTGTCAAAGTACCAATCTCTAAATAGATTTACAATTGTCTGTCAAAAAAAAAAAAGATATAAATAAAGAGAAATAATATTTGATCAATTATACATATATATGGATAAATAATTAGTTTGGGTTTATTATAATACCTCATTACTTCCCTCGACGACCATGTCTGAATTCCAGTGACTATTTCGCTCTTGCTCATGGGTCTTAGGGGAGGTAATCAAGACCCCTTTTGATGAACAATTTGTATGCTTTGGTAATAAACTCAAAAATTCCAGTCTTAGATCTGAAAAACATGCATAAAACACATAACTACTTGATATGTAAATGTATAGTAAGAATTACTTTGTACAAAAATTAATTAGGTAGGTATTGTCAACCTTGTAAGACTTTATACATCTCACTTGAACAACTTGAACAACCGGTTTGATCCATAATGCATTTTTTTATTGCTTCATTGTTTTTAAAAGTCCATGATACCTGAAATATATTAAAGGATGAAAGGAAAATTAAAATAACAACATATATAACACACACTATGAATATGGAAGACAAATGAAATTGGATCATAAAAATATATACATATAGACTACTTAATTTTATTTTTAATTAATGTAACAAATATCGTATATCACATGGTGCATTTAGCGTAAAATACTATAATCTAACCTGAACACTATCGAATGCAGACATCAAGAAAAAGATAGGAGTTTGGATGTCTTTCTGCACATTTTGAGCAAAGAAGCACTGCATATATGCATGCACAAGTTCAATATACATAAATAATTATTAATTATATAATGCGATTCATATTTAATTAGTTGACGCAATTAAAATTAAGATATTAATTAATTATTACCATATACGAACTTAGTCTTGATGTGCACATTTTGGGTAAGGACTTAGCTGATCCCTGATCCATATAAACAAATTAAAGCAATTGATTTGATTGCAGGTATAGTATAAAAATCTCCATGAGAAATAAATTTTATATAAAATCAAATTAATTATTTATTGAAAAATACTGATAGATTATCCTTAATTTATCACTCACAAACCAATTATTCCTTATGTCACAATGTTTTTATATATATAATTTTTCGAAGATGTGAAACTTAACAAAGGAAAGAAGAGAAAAATACATGTAACGTTATCAATCCTTGAAAGGTTGGTATAAAATCGTTCCTTTGATCTTCGAATCTTTTCCTGTTAATTAGGAATTATATATACACAAATATCAAAAGTCATATCATTTTTTTTAGGTCAAAGCTTAGTGCAATTAATTATATGACATATAAATCTTACGACGGAAAGAAATATCCGGCATCTGACAAACATTTTACTCGAATAGCATAAGGCAACAAATTGTGAAAACCATCACAATGAAGTGTAGCCGCAACCCCTCCCGCAGAACTACCAAACAAAAGTGCCTACAATATAATAATAAATTAATAACAGTAGTAACAACAATAACAACAACAACAACAACAACAACAACAACAACAACAACAACAACAATAATAATAATAATAATAATAATAATAATAATAATAATAATAATAATAATAATAATAATACTTTAATTTGCAGGTTAGATGTGCACTAATTCTTACATTTTGGGCCATTCCCATTCCCTTTTGAATCAACTCTTGCATAACAGCATTGAAAATTCTAGCACCTCTGAAGTAGAGATTGGTGCCCTGCAAAATAGTACACTTACACTCTAGTTAGTTTGCAAATTATATATATATATATATATATATATATATAGCTAGACAAGGCATACATACATTGTAAATTGTTTGGGAATCGCCTGTGAATGATGAGCCATCACAGTAAGTGATCACAACTTTATTCCAGTCAAAGAAATCTATATATAATATAATTTGCCAAAAAACAATTCATTAGTCAGTAAAGAATATGGAATCGGTGAAAATGTGTATTTAATTAAAACAAATGTACCTGTTTTTTTTTTTTTTTTTTTGAAATAAATATATACCTGGATTTTTTTCTTTGTCACTGTCCAAAATATTACCAAAATCGAATGGTCTTGGATCTTGGGTAATTTTTCTATTATTAGCATATTTGATGCAATATTCAGCAGTATGGCACCATGCTCCTCCCTGAAATTCAAGTAAATAATTCAAGGATTGTGTCTTATAATTCAAAAAGAAATTTGATTTGTATTTTTTGTGTGTCCAAAAATATACACTTAGCTTACCGGAAGATATACAATCCAATTGTTAATTCCATTGCCAAATCCTTGAAAAAAGTAATAGGATGCTGGCTTCCCAGTCAAGCAAACTGAAAGGAATATATATATATATATATATATATATATGAAATAATTATCATTATATAAACATATATATTACGAAATTAATTAATGAAATAATAAATAAATGGAAATAAAAGTTTTAGAACTCTGGTAGAAGCTATAATGAAGAGAATAAATGTTACCAGCTTGGGTATCAGACTTCACCAGTGTTGGATTAACAAATAATCCTGAAAAAAAAAAAAAAAAATCTCTAACTTGTTATCTATGTTCTATCAGATCATAAAATTACAAGAAAGTAAAATATTTTGGATCTTTACTGGAAAGCTTAAGATCAGAGGAGTAAGTAGAAAAAAAATATATAGGGGAGACATATGCTATATATACCATTAGAAGTTGTAAGTTGAAAGATGACGAAGAAGAATAAGAACAGTATGAACGGCTTGGTTTCCATTGGTCTCTGCTTAGGAAAAGTCGGGTAAGATCAATAACTTAGGAAGAGAATTTTGTAGCTTCTCTTTGGTTTTTGTTCTCCGATATGAATTATGATACTCTCTCTTTGCAAACTTACTTACATCACTCAAATATATATAGAGAAATATTGTGGAAGACAGCTCATCACAAGTATTCTTCTTATGTTGTAAAACTAATAACTATAAAATTCAAATAGAACTATGTTATATATGTAAAACTTATTAATTTAATCATAAAATTCAAGATTAATTGTCAAATATTAGTCCGAGAAGGCAGCCCGGGAGAGGAGACAGTGTTTTTTTTTTTTTAAAAAATAATTATTTAATTTAAATTTATTAAAATACAATTAAAAAAAATATTTTAAAATTTGGTAACTACCATGTTAGCATTATGTTATCCGGTCAACTGGTGGTTATTTTATTATTTTGCACTATTCAGAGACCTAATTGAAATTTTAACCCAGGTACCATTAGACCATATAGACTTGGTAAAGAAACTCAACTATTATTAGAGAGATTTGAAAATATAAGGATAGAGAGAGGATATTACTAAACCCTTGAAAAATCGGGGACAAATTAAGTTTGAGGACGAACTAAATAGTATTTTTTGTTTCTCTATAAACGTAACAACAATAATTCATTTTCATTTGGGAAAATATTACTTGAATTCTATAGTTCTACTTCCTATTTTTACTTACACAATTAAAATTTTGATATTGACATTTTCTTGGAACTCACAAAATAAGATTACTTATCATCTCTTACCAAATCAAACAGTAAAAATAGAAAAATAAAGAATGAAAATTCATGTAATAGAACTTTTTCATTTAATTTGTTTTAATATCATCTTTCTTTTCCTTCTTTTTTATTTCACGTTTTATTTATTATTAACATCTTATTTTTTTCTCTCATATAATCTTTCTTTTTATAAAGTACTTTCCCTTTTCATTTTGTCGATCCGATCCCTCATCTGATCTTCTACTTCATCATCTTGTTTTTTAATAAAATGCTCTCTTTGTAGTCTAATGGCACGAAGTGGTTCTCCCAAATGAGATGTCATTGATTCAATTTTCAGTGAGAATAAGTAATTATGAACAGATACTATATTGTAACAGAGTTAGTAGTACTAAAAAAATACCCCTCTTTCATTTGCTTTGATCCCTCATCTTCTACGTAATAATGATTATTAAAAAAATCAATATATAAAAAAATAACTTAGTAATAAATTAATGTTCATATTTTAAAAAATACAATTTTTTTTTTATCTAAAACGAAAAAAAAAAAATTCTCTAACTTCTATTGCTAAGAAAAATATTTTTAAAATATAATCAATATAAAAAATTTCTTTTGTTTTTTTGAGGTATCTTTACTTACCCATCAATTGTCTTTTGTGGGCAAACCTAGCATGCACATAGTTTTTTTAAAATAAAGCAACTTTTACACTAGGAAGGTAAAATGTGCAATGCATGTATTTTTTTGATTTAAATATAATATATAGTATAGAGTTGATGCATTATTCATTAATTATACCACCATAAAACCTATGCCAATTTGATTTGACTAGAAGCGTAGTAATGCGTGTTTCTACCCCATCTATTTAGTTGCTATCTATTGCATGCCATTTATTGTTCTAACGTTCCATTCCTTCTTTAAAGAACAAACAAACAAAAAAAAAAAAAAAAAATCAATTCCTTCTCTTTAAACAACAGAAGTAATATTTGTTATTTGGTTATTACCAGCTAGCTAGTTGCATAGAAGTAACTAATGCTTCTCTGGTCACGTTCAAAGCTGATAATATTTACAAAAATATCACAACTTTTTTCTAAGGCATTATTCCTCCGATTATCTTAAATTAAATAGACAATTAAAATTGTGACACATTTTTACAAAAATACATGTACTTGTCCATATATTTATAAGATTGGGATTAAATAAGAATTATTTGCCCAAAGTCTTGTGGTCGAACGACATAGATGTGACTTCTCAAATGAGATGTCTCAGGTTCAAACCCTAGTGTAGAGGTATCGACTCTTTGTGGTTCAGTAGGTTGAGAAAGTATATATGAACATAACAGAGTCAATAGTCCTCAATATATATATATATATATATATATATATATATATATATATATATATATATATATATATATATATATACTGAGTAGCAATGATTTTATGGTATTCTAAAAGGAAGAATCTAACATAAAATTTTAACCAAAGTAACCAGCATTTACTAATAGCAGTTGTTACGCTGTGCAACCATGTAAGAATTTATGGTGCACACAGTTGCACAGCATAATTTGCGTACTAATAGAGTTAATTTTAATTTGTAAGAATTAATTTCGAATGAATTCAATTTTAATTTTTAAGAATTAACATCGTAATCGTTTTTATAAATTATAAATCGTGGATGTTACAAATCTGATTTAATTCAAATGTTAATGTCATTGTTTATTTCTATTTATTTCTTCTTCTCCTATAAATACCTTATGTTGGACAAATATTTTAATGGCTAGTTTTTGAACCATTCCAAATCTCGATTTTCTTCTCTCAAAAATAATTTTCCTTAAAAAATGTTTACCAAGACTTTAAAAAAAAAAAAAAATCGAAGTTTTGTGTTCTAAAACATTTCACATAGAGTAATATAGATTCAGTGATTAACTATATTATTGTAATCCATTTTATCCTGGGGCTAATATTACAATGCTCCTTGTACCATTGAGAGGTAGCGAATCAATTTAAAGGAATCGATGTTAATGAAAGTGTGCACAACATGGATTTTCCTATATTCTTTCTTTCATTCCTTTGAATTTTAAAAAATAAAATCTAATCTCGTTATTGTATTTATATTTTTATATAAATTTCATTTATCGACTTATTTATCTGTACATATATCAAGAATTTGTAAGTAATAGTAGAAAATATGAGTCCTCATAATATTTTACTCACGTGTTAGTGTTAGCTATATTTTACTCCATTGGTCCCATTTTACATGTTTATTTACTATTCATTGGTCAAACCAATTATGCATTCATTCTCTGCTTATTTTATTGAATATTTTCTTATGATTTTTTAAATTTGATTTTTTTTTTGTGTGTTTAATGGTACTTTTCATTTTTTTTTGGGTGAATAATTTACTTTTCATGTTTAGTTGGATGGAAAAAAAATATTCAAGGAAAAAGTTGTCCTTAAATTTGAGGAAAATGATAATTTTTCTTTGTTTTGTTCATGGAAAACTTTTTCCGCATGAAAATGTTTTCTTTAAGTTTGGCGAAAAAGTTATTCAATGGGAGGAGGTGGTATTTTGTTTTCCATTGAAGTTGGAAGAAAGTATCACATGGTTGGACAATTTTGCCTTTGTTACTTTTATTATCATTATTTGCATTGTGTAGGAACATTTTAGTCTTTATACTTATTAATCATTACCATTTCAATCTCAACCAAACAACGGAATCAATATTCCAAATTCCAATTAATTTTTTTCACTAACTAAATAATAGAAACAATTTTTTTAGTAATTTTTTTTCCATGGAATTTCAATTTCATTTACCTTCAAATATTTTTCGTGAACCAAATGAGTTAATGTAATTTCTAGATATATAAATTTTATATACTAATACAGTAATACTAATGTTTCTCTGCATCTTTCATGAAAGAGATAAAATTATAAGAGTTCTACTACAAGAACTCTCATTCTTTATTCTCTCACTTTTACTCTATAATAATAATGTGACAAGAGATGAAATGTTATCTTTATTCTGTGATGAGTTCTAAAAAAAAACGTCAACATCAAAATTTTTTTGTGATGGAGTAAAAATAAGAAGTAGAACTTGGGAGTCCAAGTAGTATTTTTAAAATTAAAATTGTCATACCATAGACTAGTCCAAAATAACATTCAGATAATTATGTGTTAACTATAGACAAATAATTCATTAACTGCACATAAATAATATGTTAATTATAATAAATATATAATTTATGTGTCTGCAGTTAATAAATTATATGACTGCAGTTAACATATTATGTATCTTCAATTTATTTATAAAAATATAATTTATCAACTTTAGGCATATAATATGTTAACGGTAAATATATAATGGATCACCTAATTAGTAATCAATATGATAGAAGTTAAAATATAATTGATTAATTTCCTTTTGATGGATTTAATTAACCCGGTGTGGACCCGAATCACTAAATCCGGATAAGAATATGAATAACAAATAAATAGATAACACGAAACGGTGTCGTAAAGGTCGCAGGGACAGTATGTCGTATTAAATGCCGTAAATAGGCTATTACAATGATTTGTTTAGTATAAAATATGTAGGATAATGATTAAATGTCCTAAAGAGACAAGGTGAGGGGTTTTATACAACCCTCACCCCTAACCGCCACCCCCTAAGGCGGGGGGTGGTTGGATCCGCGTTGACCGCGTCCTCTTGACCGGTTCCAGGTCGGCCCGTTGATGGCCGACCTCTCCATGACCGACCCCTCTGGGTCGGCACCTGCTCTGGTCGGGGCCCCGGGTCTTGCTCCACCTCCACGGGTCGGTATACTCTGCTCGTAATATATCCATCACCTTTAAAGGACAAAACATGACTTTTTTAAGCATCTTCTATACTTGACTTTTCATTTAGTTCTCTCGTTTTTACATTAAAGGAATTCATATTACAAAATTAATATGACGTAAAGAAATTAATATCAATTATTATTATATAACCTCATAAAAAAATTCAATTGGAAAAGAAGTGAAAATGGACTGAATTTACCTAAATTTGACAATCAATGTGTCACATGCAATGTCTAAAAGTAAATCTAACAAACCAAATAGATTAACAATACAACACTCCATGTTAAAATGTCATGTGTTTATAATTCCTTACTGGGACAAATTAAATGTGCATTGTTTTTTTTTTTTGTTTTTTTTTTTTTAAAGGGAAATGTGCATTGTTTGTTACGTAGAGTTTAAAAAATGTGATCCATTAAAATACACAAGTTATTTATAAGGATCTTTAATAAGTATATAGATGAAATTTTAATAATTAAACTGATTATTATGAAATTATTAAGATGGTTGAACCATCTCAAATGCATTAATCCCATTGAATCCTTTTAGAATTAGAATT